TTATTTATTTTAAAAATTTTAATTTTTAAGATTGTGGGTAGATTTCTTTTCATCTTTATTTGGGGTTATTTTTTAGGAATTATTGTATGGGGTTACAATAGAATTTTATTTAATATTGTGGGTAAGATTTCAAATTTTTTTAGGATCAGCTTGAGTTTCTTTTCTAAGTTTAGTAAGTTAATTAGTTTCTTTTTCTTGAGGGGTGTAGATCATATATAAATCGTATTCTTGCTAGGGTTCTTGGTTTTGTAAAATTTAAGGAAGGAAGAAAGGATAGTTAGGTGAGATAAAAAGGGAATAACATGAATTGAAGGGGGAAGTTAGAGAGAGAGAAAGAATCAAGTATGAGAGAGAGTTGTTTCTTTCTTCTTCTTCTTTTTCTGTTAAGTTTTTTTTTGTTTCGAATTAAAGTGGGTGGAATGTCCTATTGGGAGAAGACATGGAATACTTTTATAACGAGATTTTTTTAATGAAGAAGAAAAAAGTGTTGTATCCGGTTGACTTGATTTACTACTTCTTTCTTTAATTGGTGCTGAATTTTTACTTATTTTAATTGATGTTTAATTCTTACTTATTTTAAGATCAAAAGAAAATCGGATTTAATTTCCCATACTCTTTTTACATCAGGCGTATATATTAATGCTTTGTGCCTAATTGATATATAGAAAGCATTTCTTTAATTTAAAAAAAGTGCGTTCCATACTAATTGCTAACTTTCCGTCATAGATTAAGTTCCTTCCAAGTCACAAAAATGACTGAAAGGGACACATCATAACCATTCGCCAAGGGAAAGGAGGGTGCAAAGTTCACCTTGCCTAACAGGATGGTCCACATTCAATAAGGAAATCCACCGATCCATTTTGATTATGACATTCTTACCATAGACAGGAGCATATAAGAAATTACCATGTTCAATGCTAGACAGATCGATCATACACCAAACCAGGGTTGAAAGCTGGGTCCGGAAAACCGGTCTAGATTGGCATATAGGATCATTTGGAATAAAAAAAATCAAAAAATTACTAAAAAATATTATAAGTATTGTTATGGGGGGTTTTCAAGAACAACTGGGTGTAATATGTTATAAATTTTTATTATTTTATAAAAAATACGTGAATATTGAGACGTTAGTTTTTATTTTAATATTTGTCAATCACATTACATAAAAAAGAGCAAAAAATCATTCTATATATGAATACATGGTCCAAGATAGAGTATAAAATTATAAAAAACAACCTAGGACCAAAATGACAGACAAATCAGAGCTTTGATCATGTAGAAGGCTCCTCAATGATCATTGAAAAAAATTTCAATGAAAACCATTTACCTTTGGTTCAAGGTGGTCACAATTAAACTTGACTATTATATAGGAAATTAGGTGACTGCATTTATTTCATTGACCAAGTTCAAAGTCTAAAAGAAATTTTTTCAAACTTTGTGATTCATCCAAACAAGCATATTTTATATATGATGGTTGTAAGTAATTGTGACCTCCGTGTACTAAAGATAAATGATCGCATTGTATACAGTCCCATATCAAATTTATTATCTAATATATCTCTAACATATAACACC